TCAGAGTGATGGGGCCGCGGTCGCCTCTTGTGGCGGCTTTTTGGGGAAAGGTCAGGCAGGGGCGTGGCTGGCTGGGTCCCTTGGGGTCAAGGCTCCCTCTAAGCTGTGGAGTCTTCTTGTGAGCAAGGATCCTACTTTGTGAGCTACGGGAATTAAAGCTGTGAGCCAGCCATTTGGCTCCTGCATGAATGAGTCTGCTCTGGAGCCCTCCTTCCTGAGTGAAGACAAAAATGTCTGAGCCGGAGGTTAAAATAACTGTGAGCTAGCTCACACTCGCTCAGCTTAGAGGGAACACTGCTTGGGGTCTCTGCTTCTGCCCACGGAGCGGCCCCTCCTACAAGTCTTCCACAGGTTCTGAGCACCCTTCAGGACGGAGTGTGTCGGGAAGCAGCAGACCTGAGCCCTGGGGTGTCGCCCCTGTGAAGGTCTCCAGTGCGAGAACACAGGAGAGTTCTGGTGCCGCTCTGTTCCTTCCAGTGGGCCTTGTGGGGCAGAGCCTCCCTGTGGCTTAGGCCCAGCGTTCATCGGGGCGGGTGGATGTTCCTCCGTAGATCCTGAAATGTCTCGGGCCAGCCCTGCCTGCGGAAGTTTGCATTTCGGGGGCCCTGTCAAGGACTTGCTCGTTGCTAGTCTGCGGTGAGGCCGTGCAAAGTGCTGGAATGGCATTTGGAAATGTGCCCGGAAGTGTGCCCAGGTTTCATGCATCCACACAGCGAGGGTCCAGACGCAGTGCTCCCTCCAAGCTGAGTAAGTGTGAGCCAGCTCAGAGTGTTTTAGCCTCCGGCTCACACATTTTTGTCTCCGCACAGGGAGGAGGGCTCCAGAGCAAACTCATTGATGCAGCAGCCAAATCGCCCGCTCACAACTTTAATGCCAGCTCACAAAGCAGGATTTTTGCTCCCAAGACTCCACAGCTTAGAGGGAAAACTGGTTGCCATCTTCCAGGTGGGAGCTGGAGAGCTCCTGGAATTGCACCTGACCTCCAAATGACAGAGATCAGTTCCCCTGGAGAAAACGGCTGCTCTGGAGGGTGGGCTCTGCAGCATTATCCTCTGTGGAGGTCCCTCCCAGTGTTCCCTCTAAGCTGAGTCAGTGTGAGCCAGCTCACAGTTTTTTAGCCTCTGGCTTGCACATTTCTGTCTTAGCTCGGGAAGGAGGGCTCCAGAGCCAACTAATTTATGCAGCGGCCAAATCGCTCGCTCACAACTTTCATGCCAGGAGCTCACAGAGTAGGATTTTTGCTCGCAAGACTCCACGGCTTAGAGGGAGCCTTGGTCCGGAGATGTGGGTGAGTTTCTTTTCCGTCTTTGCAGGTGGAAGGGGGAGCAGGTCGCGTGTGGCAGCGCCGGACCCTTCCCCGCTCGGCAGCCTTGGGATTCCCGGCAATCTTCAGTGGCTCTCCTCTGACTTCCAGTTGCCCGCAGATGAGTTTGGCCACCTCCAGTCAGAAAAGGTCAGAGCTTCTGCCCCCAGAGCGCCGGAGATCCCGGAGGCTGCTGGCGAGTCTGTCGGGCACCTCCGGGGTGCTGACGGCGGCCTTCAGGTAGCCAGAGAGAGACCGGGTGACCTCCTCCTTTCTCCAGAGGGCCAGCCCGCAGAGCCCCCGGCCTTGCACGTGAGCAGCCTGCTCCTCTCTCCAGCCAACACCACCCTGGAGGGGGGAAGCCCTCCGCCGTTATCCCTGCTGCCCACCCTTCTCTTCCCGATGGTGGGGGCCACCCCCGTCACCCAGGACTTCTGTAACGCCCCGTGGCACGTGCCAGCCGGTTCCCCGCAGGAGCCGAGTGCCAGAGCAGCGGGCGAGCCAGTGTGTGGCACGGAGGGAGAGCGGTGGCACACGGGGGCGTCATGCCCTGAGGGTGAAGGGGGAGCCCGCCGGCAGCATGATGAAGCGGCAGCTGTGAGCCTGGAGGCAGGGCGGGAGCTGGCGGCGGAGCTGAGAGAGCTCGGCAGGGCCTCTGCTGACCAGGTAAGAGGAGGAGGAGCCTCCCCCGGAGGTCGGGCCTGCTCCTGTGCTCCCTTGCTCTTGGTGGGGGGAGGCAGGAAGGTGGCTGGCAGAGCGGCCGCTGGGTCTTGCCGCCGAGTAGACATGGAGCCCTACATCCAACATCTGGCCTGAGGAACGGAGATGGACCTTCGCCCTCCCCCACCTCTCTGTCCCGCTTCCAGGGTTTCTGTGCTCCCCCGTCCCGCTCCCTTGGGCCCCCTTTTCACAGCCCCGGTCCAGTGTTCCCTCTAAGCCGAGTTAGCGTGAGCTAGCTCACAGTTCTTTTAGCCTCCAGCGCACACGTTTTTGTCTTAGCTCAGACAGAAGGATGGGGCTCCAGAGCAAACGGATTGATGCAGCTGCCAAATCGCTCGCTCACAACTTTAGTGCCAGGTAGCTCACAGAATAGGATTGTTGCTCACAAGACTCCACGGCTTAGAGGGCGCACTGCCCCTGTCCCTTGGTCCTTTCTGCTTCCCATCTCTCTGTTTTCGTGCTTGTTGGCCCACTCCTTCCTGCCCGACGCCACCCTCCAGGCATTAAGATCCTGCAAGAGATCTCCTATTTTGGCCGGAACGACCTTTCACTTTCCTCACAGATGCTGGACTGATTGCTGGCATTCCATAGCTGAAAGTTTTCCCCTGAGTAGGTAGGGTGTCTTTGGCATTCCGAACTTCCCCTCACTGGATCTTGATGTCTTCTCGCAGCACGACGCAGCAGCGGACGGCTCGGTACGAGCGCCGAGGGGCCGACAGGGAGAAGGCACGTTGCAGATGACATCCAAGCTGAAGGTGGGCAGGACAGAACAGGGGTGGAGCTGTGAACAGGCTGGTCGAGGGACCAACTTCCCCTCCGCGTGGAGAATGCCTCCTGCAGACACTTACCTGCACCTTGTGCATCTTGTGGAGGATCAGGCCCCCAGCAAGACAATACCGTTCAGGCTTCCGTGGAACATCGGAGGGGCAAAATTTGCCGCTTCCATCTTGTATGACTTAACATCAAATAAGGCTCCAACTATTCCTCAAATATACAATAATATTCAATACATGAAATACAAGAAATACAAAGAATATGACAGGCTGGGGATGTAAAGTAATATCTAAGACAGTGATGGCGAGCCTTTTAGAGACCGAGTGCCCAAACTGCGACCCGAAACCCACTTATTTTTCGCAAAGTGCCAACACGGCGATTTAACCTGAATACTGAGGTTTTACTTTAGGAAAAACAACTCACACATTAACTGAAGATGATCCAAACAAAGTAAGGAAAGCAATCACAAATGCTTTCATTTACTTAACATTATTTGGCAGAGAATTCGACACTTAATTGATGGTCTGGGCCTGGCTAGGGCGATGGCACGTGTGCCCACAGAGAGGGCTCTAAGTGCCACCTCTGGCACCCGTCCCATAGGTTCGCCACCACTGATCTAAGACTTCACGAATCCCAATTTCGATGGTCTGAAAAACATGACCGTCAAATGTCCATAATGAGCCTGCCTGTGCAGGCAAGGTGGGGTATAAAATCGAAATTAATAACTAAATAAAGCAAGTACATCCACTTCTTAAGACTTGAGACAAACAAAGTCAAGCACGCTGCAGTCAGCAAGTAGCTCCAGTCCTTAAGGCTTGAGACAAACAATAAGGAATAAGCAGCGGTCATCAACTCATCCTCCAGATTATCCAATGAGTTTTCGATCCCTTCATCAGGACTGCACCTCAACGGGGACTCCCAAAGAGGCACAGCAACAGGAGCTTCTCAGCCAGTGATGCCTCCAAACTGTCTTACTGCCCAGCAGTCTCTCCAAACTACCTTGTTTTTCTTTATTCATGATGGATACGTGTAGCGTGACTCTGTAGGTGCTCTTCCATCTAGACGAATGTAAAGACTTGCAGCTTCCAGGCAGGCTGGAGCTCTCCCCCCCCCCCGCCCCCCAAAAGGACCACCAACCTCCTCTTTTTTGTTTGTTTGGAGTCCAAAACACAGAGCTGTATCTTGCTGATGATGATGCCCCAGAGTGACGTGTGCCGTCGGGGGTCAGTAGATGCCTCTGCTGGAATAATTCCCTTCCTCCTCCTCCTCCTCCTCCTCTGTTGTTCAGAATCCCGCCGGTTCCTGCTCCGTGGACGTGAGCGCCGTGTGGTGGGAAGTGGCTGACTTCGAGGAGTTGCGCATCGTGATCGCTTGCAAGGCTTCTGTCGCCCTCTGGAGGCGCCTGGACTCCGGCTGCTGGGAGACGGTCCACACCTGGAGCTTCGCAGAGGTGGGTCTGCGCCCCGGCTGTTGGCGCCTGCAGCTAGCTGGGCTTCCCCGCAGGCTCCTTCTCAGGATGGGCAGACACTCGAGCATGGACAGAGATCACGCCCCGCCTAGCTGTGGCCGCCGCTTGCACCTTCCTAGCCCCAGCGGGATCCAGCGCCTCCCACCCCACTGTAAGTCTGCCTCGTCGGTCCCGTCAGCCAGGGTGGCCAACGCAGAGAGTGCTTGGCGGTTGTCCCAGAGCACGGATTCTAATCTGGGAGAACCCCGTTTGATTCCCCACTCCTCCACATGAAGCCAGCTGGGAGACCTTAGGTCAATCACAAGTTCTCTCAGAGCTGTTCTCTCACAAGCAGTTCTGGAAAGAGCTCCCTCAGCCCCACCTCCCTCACAGGGGGTGTCTGTTGTGGGTAGGGGAAGGGAAAGGAGACGGTGAGCCGCTCTGAGACTCCCTTGGGTAGTGAAGGGCCATGGGGTATGAATCCAATCTCCTCTTCTTCATTTCTCAAGCCAGCCCAGTTTGCAGCTGCTGAACAAAGCCATTCAGGCCCATGACTGGGCTCTCTTTGGGGCGTGTGGAGCAGGCTACCGGCTGACCCCGCCGATGGAGAGCCCTGCAAGGGGGGGCTGGGGAGGCGCGGCCTGGGCCTGGGGGCGGCTTGACCTCGCGGCTCTCCTCCTCCTCCTCCAGGTCCCGGTCTTCCAACTCGTCCCCCTGCCGGGAGCCCACAGCCTGATGTGTGTGGCCCTGGGGGGCCCGGAGATCGCAGAGCTCAGGTGAGCAGCCTCGGAGGCCGTTCCTATCCAGGGCTCAACAGCTGCCAAACCTAGGGAGGAGACGGTGGGTCTCCCTCAGCAAGGCCACACCACGGAGCACCTGGAGGGGGGCTTCCAAGGCCCCCAAGATGGATCTAGGAGAGCCAGTTTGGTGTCGTGGGTTAAGTGCGCGGACTCTAATCTGGGAGAACCGGGTTTGATTCCCCACTCCTCCTCCACTTGCACCTGGCTGGATGACCTTGGGCAAGCCGTAGTTCTGATAAGAGCTGTCCTTGAAAAAAGAGCAGTTCCTGTCAAGAGCTCTCTCAGCCCCACCTACCTCACAGGGTGTCTGTTGAGGGGAGGGGGAAGGGAAAGGAGATTGTAAGCCGCTCTGAGACTCCTTCGGGAAGTAAAGGGCGGAGTATAAATCCAATCTCTTCTTGTTCTTTTTTGCGTGTATGCGGGGGTTATTATGCCTAAATAGCCAGTTTGGTGTCGTGGTTAAGTGCGCGGACTCTAATCTGGGAGAGCTGGGTTTGATTCCCCCACTCCTCCACTTGTACCTGCTGGATGACCTTGGGCAAGCCGTAGTTCTGACAAGAGCTGTCCTTGAAAAAGAGCCGTTTCTGTCAGAGCTCTCTCATCTCCGCCTCCCTTCCAGGGGGTGTCTGTTGTGGAGAGGGGAAGGGGAAGGAGTTTGTCAGCCGCTCTGAGACTCCTTTGGGTAGTGAAGGGCGGGGTAGAAATCCGATCTCTCCTCCTTCTCCTCCTCCTCCTCCTCCTCCTCATCATCATCATCATCAAATCCTGGTCTCAAAGTCCCGTGTAAACGATTCACAGCTCTCTCTCTCTCTCTCTGTGTGTGTGTGTGTTGGGGAGGGGAGGGGAGGGGGTGCCAGCCGGCTTGCTTCCCCCCCGTGGCAGGTTTTTGCAGGAGCCAAACCAGGTGGAGAGCGGGTTTGGGAAGGTCTGTGCTTCCCAGGTGCACGTGGGCCCAGTTCAGATCAGACCCCAGTACCAGGAGAGGGAGGGGGAGGGGGGCTTTCCCTAGCCCCCCACTCCCCCATGTCCCTGGGTCTGGCCTTAGCCCCTTGGGGGCTGCAAAGGTCGTGTCTCCCGCAGGGCCGAAGTCAGACGAGCCACGTTCTTCCTTCCTTTTTCAGGCTGCTCTTTCATTCTCTCAAAGAGGGCTGCCCGCAGCAGTCGCCGGTCAAGGCTGGAAACATCAAAGCTGTTCTGGGCCTGAGTGGCCGGAGGCTGGTCAGCAGCTGCGACGGAGCCGTGGAAGTCCTTTCCTTCCTCGCAGGAGGGTGAGGAAGGCTGGGGGTTGGGGGTGGCCAAGGCTCCCGCTAAGCAGCGTGGAGTCCTGTGAGCAGAAATTCTGCCTTGTGAGCTGCCGGCATTCAAGTTGTGAGCGAGCCATTGGGCTGCGGCATAAATGAGTTTGCTCCGGAGCCCCATCCTTCCTGAGCTGAGACAAAAATGTGTGAGCCGGAGGCTAAAAAACTGTGAGCTGCGTCACTCCAACTCAGCTTAGAGGGAACACCGGTTGGGCCACCTCGGGGACCCGCCAGAGGAGCCGGCCACCGCCCCCGCCAGCCTCCCTGTACCTACCTGCGTCTTCCCTTCCTAGGCGCTGCAGGAGGCAGACTTTGTTTCGCCCAGAGGAGACCACTGTGGGTTTTGCTGCCGTGGATGGACTGGCCGAGGCTTTGGTCGGCTTGACGGCCAGCAACTCTGTGCTTGTCTGGTAAGCAGCATCGCATTCGGAGCTCAGCTGGACTTGGGGGGTGGCTGCTGTGGAGCCTTGCAAGCAAAAATCCTGCTTTGTGAGCTCCTTCCAAACCAGAGAAGTTACAGCTCCAAATGACCGAAGCAACAGAACAAAAAGCTGTAGAAAAGCGCTACTCATTCCAAGAGAAACAATATAATTACAGCAATATTGTAAGGAAATGTGTAGTCCTTGTCCAGATGAAGTCTTCACGAAACGAATAGCTACTCCAGAAAACTTCGCCAACAACCATCACGATTATATTATGGACCTCTTTTGCACTTTGTTTGTAACTACATGAATGCTACAATAATTGTAATTCTATGGTTTCTCTTGGAATGAGTAGCGCGTTTCTACAGCTTTTTGTTCTGTTGCTTTGGGCTTTGTGAGCTCCTGGCGTTAAAGATCTGAGCGGGCCGTTTGGCTGCTGCATAAATTAGTTTGATCTGGAGCCCCGTCCTTCCTGAGCCGAGACAAAAATGTGTGAGCCGGAGGTTAAGAAACCGTGAGCTAGCTCACACCAAGTCAGCTTAGAGGGAATACTGGTGCGGCCTTCCCCAAAGCACACCCCGGAACAGCCGTGCCCGCCACCCCTTTCCGCCGCCAGGCTGCTGAGTGCACTCAATGGCTGGGGTGGGTGGGGGACAGGACTGGAACGTGGTTGGCAGAGCGGACGTCTGATCCACCACCCATCGAGAACCCAGAAGCCCTGCAATGCTGCCTCCCTTGTTCTTGCAGGAACCTGAGCACTGGCCAGCTGCTGTGCCGGATGCCCCTGAGCTATGCCTGCCCTGCGCCCGTGTGCCACCAGGCCTACTCCGACTCGGTAAGTCCATTCTGTGAAGCAGAGGCTGTGTGGCAGGTCCCAGGTTCAATCCCTGCTATCTACAGTTTAAGGGAACAGGCGGTGGGTGATTTGAAAGGATTAACATCTGGGGCAGAGGCCCATCTGGGGCAGAGAGCCAGTTTGGTGACGTGGTGAAGTGTGCGGACTCTAATCTGGGAGAACCAGGTTTCATTCCCCCACTTTTCCACTCGCACCTGGCTGGATGACCTTGGGCAAGCGTAGTTCTGGCACAAGTTCTCGAAAAAAGGGCAGTTTCTGTCAAGAGCTCTCTCAGCCCCGCCTGCCTCACAGGGTGTCTGTCTGTTGTGGGGAGGGGAAGGGGAAGGAGATTGTAAGCTGCTCTGAGACCCCCTTGGGTAGTGAAGGGCGGGGTATAAATCCAAACTCCTCCTCTTCTTCTTCTTCCATTCGTGGCTATTAGCCACAAGGTATAGACAGGAACTCTTGGTCTGGGGCAATGTTCCCTCTAAGCTGTGGAGTCTTGTGAGCAAAAATTCTATTTTGTGAGCTGCTGGCATGCATTAAAGTTGTAAGCGAGTGATTTGGCTGTTGCATAAATTAGTTTACTCCGGAGCCATCCTTCCTGAGCTAAGACAAAAATATGTGAGCTGGAGGCTAAAAAACTGTGAGCTAGCTCACGCTAACTCAGCTTAGCGGGAACACTGGTCTGGGGCCAGGGATACTCTGTATTCTTGGTACTTGGTGGTTGGGGGGCAACAGTGGGGGGGGCGTCTAGTGTCCTGGCCCCGCTGGTGGACCTCCTGATGGCCCCTGGTATTTCTGGCCGCTGTGTGACACAGAGTGTTGGACTGGATGGGCCTTTGGCCTGATCCAACATTGGCTTCTCTCTTATGTTCTTATAAAAGGCTTCTTTGCCGGAGACCCTGGAGAGCCACTGCCAGTCTAAGTAAGCAAGGCTGACTTTGAGGGACCGTGTGTGTGTGTGTGTCTGATTCAGGATAAGGCAGCTTCAGGCGTCCACACTGCAGCTGGGGGCTTGGGGGCAGAAGGCGGGTTCTGCACCCCACCCGTTCCGTTCTTTGCGCTGGCCTTCTGTGCCACCTGGCATCAGTCCAGGCTTGGATTCAGATGGGTCCTCTGTGGTGGTCTGTCTTGGGGGGGGCTGCCTGCCCCCTCCCCCGTGCCCCACGGCAGCCTCAGAGATCCCCCAGGTCCCAAGAGGCCAACCCTCAACCCCAGGCTCCCTCTCCCCCGAGACCAGTCCAGGAGCTCTCCGGAGCCTTTCCAGGGGGTTTGGCTTTAGACTGGCCAGGCAAAGGTCACAGCAGGGCTGCAGGGGGTACACGCCAACCGGAGGGGGGGGGGGGAGGCCGGCTGTGCAGAAGATTGTTGGTTTTTATTTCTTAAGGACGCCCCAAGCATTAAAACGCTCGCAGAACTGAAAAGAACTTCAGCACTGAAGTTTCCCCCCCAGAATGCCACCTGCTTTCGTCTTGAAAGGGCTGTGGCATATAAACAGTCCAACGTAAGACTTGCACTAGCTGTTACTCCCCGTCACACAGGCCTGGGATTTTAGAATCGTAGAGTTGGAAGGGATCTCCAGTGTCCCTTTAACATCCCTTCCAGGGTGTCGGGGTGTGTTTCAGCCAAAAAGGGGGGGGGGGAATCTAAACCAACAAAGCGCAAACCTCCTAAGAAAGTTTAGAAAACCAACAGAGGGCCAAAAGTTAAAAACAGAATAAGTGTACAAAATCGTCTTTATTACAAAGACATATAAAAACCTAGTAGGGACCCAAACGAAGCCTCATAATGACGCGCCAAAAATATTGATATTATTTTCTTTTCTGTTCCCTTTTGTTTCATTTATTTATTTATTTATTTATTGTTCTAGTTTAATATATATTTTCAAGGAGGTAAAATACTTATGCTACATCAGACAGAATAAATACATCTCCAAAAATTGAAAACATACCCTGTATGTATAAGAGCTGTTAAGTTATAGTTTATACATTGTGCTATATTCACTTCTTAGCAGTTATGTAAATACTTGTTATAGCAACGTTAACATTATTTACAAAAAATTAATACAAATATAAATATTTTAAAAAAGAAGTAAAAAAAATATATTGATGGTGCGTTGTCCCCAACAAGGCAATTCTGTTTGCACTCTTAGGACCTAAACTGGAAGATACATAATATTTCCAGTTCATGCAATAACTTCTGACACGAGGGAGGCCTCAAATAGAAACTTGTTGGTGTGTCATTCGATCCCATATTGGAACATTCCAGTTTTGGTCCTGTTTTATTTTTTTATTTATTGTTAATTCCCTTGTTATATTTGTTTTGTTATATTTGCTTGTTGCTTGTTATATTTTGCACTGTTTGTTATCTTTTGCGCTGTTTGACCTCTGAAGAAGGCTCTTGTGAGTCGAAACGCGTCAGGTCATACACGGCTCTCTATTGTGTGCCTTTGTAACTTTGTACATTTTACGAGGCTTTGTTTGGGCCCCTACTAGGGTCTTGTTTCATACCTGTGTGGAAGCCTATTGGGCGGGGCAGGGAGGGCCTAGAACTGCATTTCCACCAACACAAAGCCGCCATCCTGAACCCCGGTCGCCCTGTCCCCCAATCCAGGAGCGGGCGGTCCCATTTCTGTTCTCTCCCTTGTGACGCAGGGCCTCCTGTTTGTGGTCTTAAGTCACCCGCGTGCCAAGGAGGACGAAGTGCACGGCAGCCCCGCTTTCCAGGTGGTCGCGTTCAACCCCAAGACGGGTAGGAGTGCCAATGTGATGACGGTGTCCCTCCCTCCGGGGCTCCAAGGAAGGCAAGTTGAATTCCCGGCAAAGAGCCCTTGGGGCAGGCGGCTGCTGTACCGGTTGGTGGCCAGAGCACGCGGGAGCGCCGTCGATCCCCCTCTCTCCCGGAACTCTCTGGCAGAGGGAGGTCTCCCCCCCCCCCCCCTCGTTCTGGGAACCTGGGGCCTGCAAAACCTGGCTGCGCTGTGCTCTCACCACTAGACATGCCTGCTTGGTAATACAAGCATTGCCAGCTCGTTGTGGGGAACGTGCTGCCCTCTTCCTGTAGACACGTCTGGGTTTGGTCCTGCAGTTTCGGGTATTTGTTTGGGCACAAGGCAGAAAGCCCCCTCGGGCACAGGTCCCTGGTGAAGCCTGCCCAAGTCTGTTATTATGGGTTCTCTTACTGTAAGTCCGTGGAGCATTTTGGATAGCCTATGAAAGCTCTTTTCTTTCAGACTGTGGATCAGAGAGGCCTGCCTTGTCACTGCAGTTTTAAGGATGGCTGCCTAGTTGGGTGTCGTGGTTAAGTGTGCGGACTCTAATTTGGGAGAACCGGGTTGGGTTCCCCACTCCTCCACTTGCAGCTGCTGGGATGACCTTGGGTCAGTCACAAGTTCTCTCAGAGCTGTCAGAAGAGGAGGAGGATATTGGATTTATACCCCACCCTTCACTACCCAAAGGTGTCTCAGAGCGGCTGACAAACTCCTTTCCCTCCCCCTCCCCACAACAGACACCCTGTGAGGTAGGTGGGGCTGAGAGAGCTCTGACAGAAACGGCTCTTTTTCAAGAACAGCTGTGCCAGAACTATGGCTTGCCCAAGGTCACATCAGCAGGTGCGAGTGGAGGAGTGGGGAATCAAACCCAGTTCTCCCAGATTAGAGTCCGCGCACTTAACCACAACACCAAACTGCCTCTCTGTCAAGCAGTTTCTGTCAAGAGCGCTCTCAGCCCCACCCACCTCTCAGGGTGTCTGTTGTGGGGAGGGAAAGGGAATGGAGTTTGTAAGCCGCTCTGAGACTCCGAGTGAAGGGCGGGGTATAAATCCGATTTCTTCTTCTCTTCTTCTTCTTGTAACTGAAGCTTTAAGGGAGGCCTGGAGTGTGGAAAGGTAGCTTTCATCCCAAGACAGTGAGGAGAGGATCTTCTCCTGCACAAGCCCCAACTAAGTGAGCAAGAGCTGTGCCGGCAGCGCCTTTGCAAAAGGCTTTTTCGTTTCAGGGGGCTTGTGCGGGAGAACTCCCTGCTGGGACAGGGAGCCGCAGCCTGGTGGCAAAAGAGCCTCCACAGCCCAAGACAGTTCAGCTGTGAACCCCAGAGCAGGGAGGCAACATCAGGGGAAGGACTCGACCTCGCTGCCCTGTTTGTCGGACCTCCAAGGCAGTTGCTTGGTCACGGCGTGGAACAGGATGCTGGATTAGGTGGCCCCTCACGGGTCAGGTCCAGCAGGGCTCCTCTGAGGCAGCTTCTTTATATATTAAGCTGTTTGTCTCCTGGCCTTTCCTTGGGGTTCAAGGCAGCTTTGAAGTAACAGTTCGTTTGGGTTTTTTAAAAAATTATCTCTCCCTTTATATATAAAGCCGTAGTGGGCTCCAACGTTCCAAATGCACACCTTTAGTGTTTGGCCGCAAGAACTGTCAGTCAGAAGACGCTGGCTGGGTTGACTGGCTGCTTTGTGCAGTCCCGCCCAGCGTTTCAAGGTCTTTTGCATATGGAAGCTGATTGGACTTCACTCCATTCCACACCTCAAACTCCCCCCCCCGCAAGGCAGTAGGAATTGTCAGTTGCATATGGAACCTACTGTATTCTGAGGTAAAATATGTCCTCACTCATAACACATCACTTCCCCTTCAAAAGAAACAAACCCAATAACACAATCATGCCACATCACAAAGACGACAGATCACACCACAAGCAGAATACCACAAGGCAAAAAAAGATAGGAAAAGGTGCCATATTTTATTATACAACTGCAAACAATTTAAAGGGGGGGGGAAATTGCGTCAACAGGGTACCAAAATCAAAATAACACATTAAATAGATAAACAGATTAAACTGGGGATAATAGCCGATTAGGAATATATTGGTTGGTTTAAAAGTCAACATGGACATAAACTGCCAGGCACTGAAACCGCTCACAATAACAGTTAAAAACATTTTCGATTTAAAGTGTTGCATTCTCTGCAGAAGTCGCCCGGAGCCCAGTGTTGCCGATGCTGTGCTGTTTCCCCCCCCCAAACTCTTGGCTCCGTTCCCAAAGCACTCGCCTTTCCCCCTGACATACCGCCTGTGTTGCTGCATTTCTAAGGGTACAGGCGGAAGAAGGGCGTGGCTTGAGAGGAGATGTTCCGGCCGAGTCCCTCTTCCGGGCTGCCACTGTTGAGAGGGGCACAGTCCAAAAAAGCCTTTTCCCTGGTCTGTGTGTCTTTTCGGTGCTAGGTACCTGGAAGGCGACGTGCGGGATGCATCCGCCGCAGCCGTGCTGACCTCCGGAGCCATCGCCGTGTGGGACTTGCTCGGGGGGGAGTGCACCGCTCTGCTGCCCCCCAGCGCCGAGGGGAGCTGGTCACTCGTCAGGTGGTCAGTGACGGACAGGTGGCTGCTGGCCGGCCAGACAGACGGCAGCCTCTGCATCTACAGCTACGACCCGGCCATGTTCCGCCCCTGAGACGGCTGAGCGTGGGAGTTCATGGGCCTGAATTCTTTCCCCACTAGGACTTTTGAAAGTGGACTGGACCCAGAGCCCGATCCGCTGGCTGGCCTGTCCTCGGCAGGGCCCACTGGCCTCAGCGCAGAAGCCACCGTTTGGCTCAAGTTCTGTTTGGAGTCTCCGTATTGTCAAAATATTTCCTCTGGAGCGCCTTTCAGACACTATTAAACTTTGCTTTAAAAGGAAAAGGCTCGTTTCGTTTTTGGAGATGAAACAAGTTGTTATTCCGCAGGTGAAAGGGCAGCTCAAAGTTCTGTTTGCCTGGTGTGAAACTAGGGTTGCCAGCAATGTTCCCTCTAAGCTGAGTGAGTGTGAGCCAGCTCACAGTTTTTTAGCCTCCGGCTCACATTTTTTAATCTTGGCTCAGGAAGGAGTGCTCCAGAGCAAACTAATTCATGCAGCAGCCCAGTCGCTCGCTCACAAAGTAAAATGTTTGCTCACAAGACTCCACAGCTTGGAGGGAGTCTCAGACTGGACTTCCTTCTCCCTCCCGCTGGAAATTTTTTTGGGGGGCCACATTTAAGTGCCTTTTGAATTCCCTTCCACAGGGCAAGAAAGCCTAGGAGGGTACTCAGAGGAGAGGGTGCTGCTGGCCTCCGTAGGCCAAGGGTCCGGCCTGATCCAAGAGTTTACCTGGCCAGAGTCAGGGCAGGAGCATGTTTGCTGTATTACTTTGTATGTTCTGCTAAGCTTTATATCACATATTGTAGTGTCATTGTTAATAATTGAATTTTCAACATTGCATATAAAAACCAACAAATATTGTTTAATTCTACATGGTGATTTACTGTTTCACTGGTTACCATCACAGAAGCATCACTTGACTCAGGGTGTCTCTTCTTGGTGTCAGTAATTATGCTTCCTCGTCTGGTCTCCAGAACACCGGCAGGACACTTTCTGGCCTTGCTGAAGTCAGCCTCCTGCCTGGCTTCTGGAGAGCCAGCTGATCAGGGCTGTGATTCACATGAAGCTTAGCTCTTGGCAGGTTTCCCGGTACCAGATGTTTTGAGAACACTTCCAGAGTTAACCCTCCTCCTTTCATCTGGGCTAAATACCAAAATCTGAATGTACTACAGTTAAACTTCTGTGACGGCGCAGTGACAGCTGTCGGCATATAAACATGCCAGAGGAAATGTCAGAACGCGCATCCAGAAAATCACGTTCGCTTCCCCCTTGTCCTACAGTGTTATCCTCTGCCTGCTGTGGTCCTTATGAGTTCCTGTCGGCCCCGTGGCAGAGGGGCAAGAGGCAGGAGACTCTTTGGGGAAAGTTGATGATGGGGTTCCCAGACCGGCAGGCCGTGCCTTTGGGAGGGGGGGCGGGGAGCTGCTTTTTAAAAAATATTATTTCAATCTGGGAAAGCCACAAAATCCCTTCTGAATCTTTTGGCAGCCCCCAGCAAGGCGAGTTCTGCCTCGATTTTCGGCCTCACCGTTAAGGGCGGTAGCCTGGCCTTAATCCGTATGGGCCGGACTGAGAGAGCTCTTGACAGAAACTTGCGAGAATATGGAGCAACCACATTAGGACTTTGGTTTTCTGTGATGCACCTACGTCCACCCAATGCCCCACTGGGATGGCGGCTCTTCTCATTGCCTTTGGAGGCACTGGATCCTTTGGACGCTGCAACTCCCAGCATCTCACCAAAGCTTTGCAGGTGCTGCACTTAATTTTGTGGCCACACGATGCCACAATTTGTCTTGAAATCCTCTGAATTCCTTTAGGTTTACAGGCAGCCATCGTTTTAGCCGATGTCAGTTTTTCAGCCTTTGATTTAGTTGAAAGGCTAAATCATTACGAAGACCACCAAGGACCTTGGTTCTCCCAGAGGGTAATAGGCAATCAAAAGCATTCCTGGCAGTGTTCTATGTTGTGCAATAAATACCCTGTTTATTCATTGTGGGCTATTCTGACTTTTTTTAACTGCAAGGAAGCACTTCTGGACATACAGCATTTCTCACCTTATACTTTGGAATAATTTACACAAGAGTATCACAATCTTGTGTCCATGGTACAGAGGAAAACTCCCACTTTTTTGGAGCATCTGGTCAGTAGTCTTGTACTGCATAATAGACAGAATCCAACAGGTAGAGCTTTCCTTCACCACGGTATATCTAAGTGACAGAAAACAGCTCCCTCTGGTTAAATGTCTACCATTCAAGTGTTTTGTTTGAAACACTTTAATTTTAATGTAAATATGATTCAGTATAATTGCATTTTTTCCAGCCGACTGCAGAACACTATTTATGGGATATGTGGAAGCCGAAGAAAAAAATAAAGAGAGTTCTTGCAGCACTGTCTTACATGGATGATTTA